AGCAGGATGACTCCCAACTCTCTAAAGTCACAGTTCTGATTGTACTTGGTTTTGTGTCCTCAAACTCACGCCATTGTACATGTCTAGTCTCTTGCCTTGGCAGGAGTTCATTATCAAACAATGATTGCCATGGTTAGGCAAAGTAATCCAGCAGTGGGTGACAGAAACTTTAGGGAGTGGTTCTAGTAAGATCTTTGGAAAGACAGAGTGTAGTATTAGTTCAATACATTTCTAAATACTCGTTTCTTGTCACTGTCTCCAAGATAAACAGATGTTTATCAACATCCCATTCTGCATGACATTGCTATAGTGACTTTTTATAATTACTGTAACAAAGGGAACTGAATGACAGTATGGTGGTTAATATCCTATTCTTTAGAATGTGATTATGGGGAAAAGGGACTCAAGTTGGGAGAAGCAAGTGTATAATTTATACATGATGGTAATGGAAGGTTTTTACTTTATTTCACCTCTCCTGTATATTCTTTTAGTTCTGTTTTACGTGTTAACCTTATATCATCAAACGTTCTGTAAAATGTGTTAGCTAAGTCCATACAAGGTCTCCTATTGTACAGCAAGATTATGTCCTAGATATGTGACCACAGCATTTGTATTGTTCCCTCTCATCTTCCTTCTTTCTAATTTTCATTAATGTTTTGATCCAACAGCAAAAAAGGGGCGGGGAGGCTACCGACAGCCTACATATTAGAACAATTCCTTAAGGAAGGAAATGGAGGAAATCTCAGACAAAAATCAGGACAATCATTTGAAATATATGATCTTTTTACACCAGCTGTTAGATCCATAATGCAACTGTTTTACTTTTAATCACTTGATTTTATTTATAAATTGCGATTTCCTGATCCCAAGGTTTTATTCTTTATATATATTTGGTTACTTGTATTGATATTTGTTTATGTCGGGCAGTGTGTGTGTGTGTGTGTGTGTGTGTGTGTGTGTGTGTGTGTGTGTGTGTGTGTGTGTGTGTGTGTGTGTGTGTGTGTGTGTGTGTGTGTGTGTCTCTGTGTGTCTGTGTGTGTCTGTGTGTTTGTGTTTATAGTCACATGTGATTTTTAAGATGGTGTTTAAAAGAAGTAACCCTTCCACAGCATGTCCTCCTCACATTCTTCCACCAGAGAAGAGGCCCCCTGAGCCCCCCGGACCTCCACCGCCGCCACCTCCACCCCCTCTGGTTGAAGGCGATCTTTCCAGCGCCCCCCAGGAGTTGAACCCAGCCGTGACAGCCGCCTTGCTGCAACTTTTATCCCAGCCTGAAGCAGAGCCTCCTGGCCACCTGCCACATGAGCACCAGGCCTTGAGACCAATGGATTACTCCACCCGACCCCATCCCAACAGGACTTATGGAAACAATGATGGGCCTGAAACAGGGTTCAGTGCCACTGACACTGATGAACGCCACTCTGGTCCAGCCTTGACAGAATCCTTGGCCCAGACCCTGGTGAAGAACAGGACCTTCTCGGGCTCTGTGAGCCACCTTGGGGAGTCTAGCAGTTACCAGGGCACAGGGTCAGTGCAGTTCCCAGGGGACCAGGACCTCCGTTTTGCCAGGGTCCCCTTAGCATTACACTCAGTGGTCGGGCAACCATTCCTGAAGGCTGAGGGAAGCAGCAACTCTGTGGTACATGCAGAGACCAAATTGCAAAACTATGGGGAGCTGGGGCCAGGAACCACTGGGGCCAGCAGCTCAGGAGCAGGCCTTAACTGGGGGGCCCCAGCTCAGTCTTCTGCTTATGGAAAACTCTATCGGGGGCCTACAAGAGTCCCTCCAAGAGGGGGAAGAGGGAGAGGAGTTCCTTACTAACCCAGAGACTTCAGAGTCCTGAAAGATTCCTTCCCTATCCATCCTTCCACCCAGTCCTCTGAACCTTTAATGAAATCATTTGCCAGAGCGAGGTAATCATCTGCATTTGGCTACTGCAAAGCTGTCTGTTGTATTTCTTGCTCACTTGCCACTAGCAAGCGACTTATAAAATAGTGATGTTGGCATCAGTTCCCCCTGGATGGGCTATAGCCAGAACATTTACTTCAGCTCTACCTAGTAAATATAAGTAGAGAATACGGAGAGGGTCATTAAATTGAAAAGTAAATGTTTAATTAGATCATTGCCTGTACTTCTTGAGCAGAAGAAAAAGGAAACAGTTTCAATTTTGAGATGGTTCAGGAGAGGCTCTCTTTAGGTTTTTAAAGTTTTGTGGGTTTTTTGTTTTTGTTTTTTTAAGAGAATAGTGTTCACAAAATTTGAGCTGCTCTTAGGCTTTTGCTATAAGGGAAACAGAGTGACTGGCTGATTTAAATAAATGTTTCCTTCCTCTCCACCATCTCACATTTTTGCTTTCAAGTGAACTCTTTTTTTACCCCATTGAGCATCTTGAACATACCTTTTTTCCAAATAAATTGCTTGTCCTTAAAGTTTACTCCACTTTGAGAAAAGACATGCCCTATCTCTCCCTGCACATGAAGCAGGTTGTAGAAAGTGGCATTCTTGGGCAAGTAGGTAGACTTTACCCCATCTCGTACCTTTTTTACCCCATCTTTATAGTTTTTCTTTCGCTCACTCGCTCTCTGTATTCTCTTTTTTTTGAGGCATTTGTTTGGAAAAAATTAATTGTTGAGATGCCCAAAAACCTGGGATAATTCTTTACTTTTTTTGAAATAAAGGAAAGGAAATTCAAACTCCTATATTGTTCTCTGTAAATCTTCGATTCTAAAATGTTTTTTGGTTTTTTTAAAACCACGTTCTGATGGTGAAGTTGATTTGTAGATGCAACCAGCCTAGGACATTGCTGCTGAGCTAGGGTAGGAGATGATGCCTCCATACATGGAGGGCTACTAAGATCAGTTAGCATACATATTGTTTACGCATATATTTTTATGTCAAGAAAAACCTTTGAAACAGAGCATTGTAATATTGTCAAAGAGAAAAAAATACATCCTGAAAATACATGGAAATGTAACTTAGTTTAGGGTGGATATTTTTCTGAAGATGTATCACTACCTGAGACCTTTTTTAAAAAAATAATTTTAAAAGAGCAGACCATAAGAAAGAACAGTATTGACATATACACATCTCAGCATGTATATCCTGCCAATTCTTTTAGGGATTTTCCTCCAGAGAGGTTTGATTTTGGTTTTGGTAAAAGGGGTTAAATTATGACTTCATGGCAAGAATTTTGCCTTATTATAAACAGAAAATGGAAGAGGGAAAGGCTTTCAGGGTGGGATAACCTGGGAGGTTTCTCATTCTGGCTTCCAGTTTTGTGTGAGTACCAGCATATAATGTGTTTTAAAAACAAACATTTAAATTATCTGCACAGACCTAGACCTTTGTGAAACGTAGGTTAGTCCCGTTTTACAAAGAAAAGGCAAATATGTTTCAGCATCTTGGAGAATAGTTTACAGACCTCAAGTAAAGTTTCATGTTTCAATGCCAGGTTCTTATATTAAAAAATAAACACTACTTGTAAGAGAGAGGTGCATTAATTAAAAAATAAAACAACAACAACAACAACAACAAAAACTTTAAAGAAATGAAAGAAGAACCCTCTTCTGATACTTACATGAAGACTATTTTCCCCTGTTACTGAAATAGGCAGATATCCGGTGTGTGCATTTCTTTATTATTCTCTGGGTTTTGGTCTGGCCTTGCCCTCAGGGCCAAACATTGATTAAAAAGAGAACCTTCTAGCCATTTTGGCATTGATGGCTTTTTATACCAGTGTGTCCAATTAGATTTGCTAGGCTCACTGACATGCTATTGGTAAATTGCATTAAAGTTCATCTGAACCTTTTGTCTGTTGACTTCTTAGTCCTCAGACATGGGCCTTTATATTTTAGAATATTTGAATTAGAGTCATTGAGCCCTGCTCTCCCATTTTTGATTAAAGAACTTAAGCCTGGGATACTTTCAAAAGTATCCAGTGAGAAAAATTGGTTTCCCATCAGATATGAATAAAATTCTCTATATATTTTAATTGTATTTTGGTTATCAGCAGTCATCAATAGTGTTTTTCCCTCTCCACCCCTTATTTTTAATTATGCCAAATACTCTAAATAATATACTTAAGTCTCCATTCCCCCATCCCTACTACTAGGGAAGGGGATGAGTATGTGTGTGTGTGTGTGTGTGTGTGTTTGTGTATGTATGATCCCATCTCAACCCCCACCCCACCTCCATCCCTACTACTAGGGAAGGGGATGAGTATGTGTGTGTGTGTGTGTGTGTGTGTTTGTGTATGTATGATCCCATCTCAACCCCCACCCCCATTTTGGGAGTCTAACCTTTAAGGAGAAAAAAAATATTTTGGACTATTTCTAAAGGCGGAGGGACAAAGAAACAAATAACCTGTAATCTGTCTGGAGGAAGAAAAGGTATTTGCTAATTTTTCAGCTATGTTATCTATAAACGTGATGAAGTACAGGTTTGGCAGAATTTCTGCTTGGCTATTAGAAAATTACAAACCCAATTATATTCAAAAGTGGTTTTGGTTTTAGTTACTGAACCATGGGAGATATTGTCCATTAAATACATTATTTTGAACAGATGAGAAGTCTGATTTCTGTTCACGAATGAGAGGCAAAACTGGTTTGACCATGATCATTTTTGTGTTTTGAAAACAAATTTACCTGACCCAGTTTCTTTAGTTTTTTTCCTTCAACTGTCCATGGGAACAATAAGGATTTGAAAACATCAGATCTGTATGTTTAAAAGCAGGGCAGTTAGCACAAATTTGTAAGTAGGATTTCTGTTAGCTTATGCCATAGACATCACCCAGCCACGTGTGTGTGTGTGTGTGTGTGTGTGTGTGTGTGTGTGTGTGTGGAATATGCATATATAGTTACAGTACTAAAATGGTTACCAGCAGGTTTTGAGAGAGAATGCTGCATCAGAAAAGTGTCAGTTGCCACCTCTCTCCCTGATTTAGGTTCCTGACACTGTATTCCTTTCTCTCTCTTGTTTTTGCCCCCCATCGGGTTTACCTTGTCTATGTATAGATATTTTGTAATATATTAAATTTTTTCTTTCAGTTTATAAAAATGGAAAGTGGAGATTGGAAAATTAAATATTTCCTGTTACTATACCACTTTTGCTCCATTGCATTTACTTCTTAATCTGTACCCTTTGAGCAGATCTAATTATATGTATAAAGGGCATTTCTCCTCCACTTTATCCTAGGGGTTCTTTGTCTTAGAATCTCTGTAGACTCATAAATTACCAAAAAAAAAAAAAAAAAAGGATTTGAAGAGGTGCTTCAAAACACTAGACTAGGAGCTAGAGAATAAAGAATTGGGGGAAATCATAAGATGTGATTTTCTAAAGTAAAAAACAGTTGCACGAAAGTAATGATGGTGCCAGGCCATCAAAAGAGTTGAGCTTCATGTACCCTGACTCCTCCTGAAAGGAGAGGTAAGTGGGTTTGAGCTCAACTGTCATCAAGAGAAGTTGGTAAGAAGCTGTTTAGACCCCCCCAAAAAAATAGTCTCTTAAATCAGAAACTCTCACCCTCACGCCAGTTCCTATGTTACCTTGAGTAGGGCCAGCATGGGGATGGATTAGTGTTGCTAGTTCTGTTGAGATTACCTGATACATTGCCAATCCAGGAAGTAAATCAAAGTTATTTATAAGGGTAAAATTCCTATTATTTCCAAAATCTTTTCCTGTCTCCACATGAGGAGAAAATTGCTTTCCCTTCCCTTTCATGGTTTAGGACGCTGGGGACTAAATGTTCCCTTGTAATATGTGCTACAGTCCTGCTAGTTATGACATAAGTAGGCAGAGGACAGAAAAAAAAAAAAAGCATCAGGAGACAGGAAGAGGGGAGAACAGGTATCAGGAAGTTGTGAGTGGGGTAAGCAATCATACAAGGTTAAGGGGTACACCAGAACAAGGAAATTAGGAAGAAATCCAATTCAAAAACGTGATGATGAGGGTTGCCAGCTTGTTTTTGAATCCCCACAGTTTAAGTAAGATGTTTCCTTGCCTGTGGGCTGTCATGTCTTTACCCAGAAGGAGAATGGAGAGCTCAAGATTGTTCCAATTCCTGGAGTCCTGTGTTCCTTGTTACCCTCCAAAGAAAAGGAATTCGTTTTTGATCTTTATGTACTGCAAATTCATGACTAGGAGTGTGAACTTCAACCTAGTAGAGAATATTGTTTCCACTTCATAGCAATGGCTGCCTTCAATTCTGGGCCTGAAAGTTGAGGACCTAACTAACCTGGACTTTTTTCTCTATCACACTCAAGGCTATTTCTAAGTAGAAACCATACTGTTCAGTACCTAAATTTCTTGGGCACTATCTTTTCCTAGACAGGCATCCTTAACTGTGTGGTAAGGTTAATGCCTCAAGGAAGTTAACAGTTAATATTCTTTGTGCTGAACTGGGATTTACATTGTTACTAAAGACTGCCCAATAGCTTGACTTTTTTTTTTGGTATTGAGTTACTTCTTTGTTCACAACTTAGTCATCCTGAACGGCTAGGTGGAATCGAAGTGGGGAGTTCCTCAAGTGAGTAAATATTCAAACATTCCAAGGGAGAAATGGAACTGCTGAGTCTTCTGGTTGTCCTGAGAGGAAAGGTGAGCATTCCTGGACACTTTGGTTAATTTTACTGTCCAGGTGTGGCATTTCTAGTGTTCCTATATAGCCTTAGGAATACTCAAGTGAGAGTATACTCCAAGCCAGTTGGGGAGGTATGACACCTAAAGGAATTACTGGTGGTACTCTGCCACTCCTCACCATGTGCAGCTATCTCTCCATCTCCTGTCCACCCACTTCCTTTCATTTCCTATTTTTCTCTCTTCTCCCAACTCACTACCCAACTCACATGCTTTAGTCCTGCCAGAAATATTGATTGATTAACCCTGCAGGGTATTTAGAGTTATTGCTGCTTAGTAGTTTTGAAGGGTAGTGAGAAGCAATTCAGGAGACAAATGTCTATTCCAAATCCTCAACTTAATGGGGTGAGAGGTGAAGGAGAAAGTAAGATAACTTTCTTATTGCTAAAAGCTATGAAAGGAGCTTTTAATTTATGTTGTGTGGGGTACAAGAGATTCTTTAACTGGTTAACCTTTGCTTCTTCATTCTCTTCCCTCATATCCTGAGACTTGGCTTTTGCTGATAACATTTCGAAGCTCGGTTGCAGATGGTGTCTATAGGAAGTAAAGCTTGATGAGAAGAGGGCCCTGCTATCCTTGAGAAAGCAGATGAGGGTTGCTTTGATGTCCTGGTGATTTAATCACTAGGTTGCCAAAACACTGGACCACTGGGTTGCTCTCATATCTCTCTCTCAAGAATTACTAGTCCAAGGCTGAGAGAAAGAGGCTGATAGGCAGTTAGTCTTTAATACTCCCTAGGTGGGTAGTTAGCCAAGCCTTCTCAATATGCAGCCCTAAGCCACATCATACTTCTCTGGAATGAGAGGGTATAGCCGTGAAGTAAATTCATTTAGACATATGTTTCCTAGGACCTGGAAATAGATGGATTTGGGGATGTTTTGCTCTGGCATAGTTGTAACCTAAAGATAATATTGATAGTTCTAAAAGAATGAAGGACATTTTATCCAAGCCAAACACCATCCCTGACGCCGGCAACATGGAGAAACCTTAAAAAGGCTATAATGTAGCAAAGCTAAGTGAAGAGCAGAGCCTGGGTCTTTGAGAGCGTCTTGTCTTTAGTTGAAGG